ATTGCTTTTCTGTTGGAAGCCTGGCAGATGAAAGAGCATACACTTTAGAACAGGAGTTGAAAAGCAAGGTGCATAGGGGCCGGGCAAGTGAGGTGAAGGCGTGATGGCGGCTTGGTGGGGAGCGTGAACAATGAGAGATCTCTGACCTCATCTACAGGGCCTGACCTCTTCTCTGCCACCTATTTTCAGGTGGGCCTATAGGATGTGGGGCAACCAATCCCCTGTTGTTAATGAAAGAGTCTCAAATTTAACAGGTTGGCAACTAATTCGAGTATCAAATAAAATGCACTGAAGGCCAAACCAAACATATCTGTGCCCAGATGTGGCCTGTGGGCTGCCAGTGTACGGTCTCAGCTTTGGAGCCAGAGAGACTTTGGCTTACATCTGGCTCAGTGACTACTTTATTAAACCTGCCTGACTCTCAGTTTTCTCAATCATAAAATGGTGAGAGGAATAATACCTAACTTTCATTTCTTTAGGAAAGGATAAGACATACTCTTCATGTCATTACATGATGGCATAAAAGTATTTTTCAAGTGTCTGCTACTTAGTGTGTTTTCAGTAACTGGCTCTTACATTGACCAGTATCATGCATTATTTTTGTCAACATTTTCCTCCAGAAACATTCAGACAAAGGCATTGTGTTAGAAATGTAAAAGGTTACTATGCCCACAACTATGCTTTAAGATAAGGTGTGCCTGTTAGTGTACAAAGGGCACGTGGCTTGGATCCCCTCCCTCAACTGCCCTGTCTGGCACCTTCTTTTCAGAGCCACTGGTCCTGTAGATGCTGGGAAGTCATAGGTAGAAACATACGTACTGTACACTAAGAGAAGCTGTAGAAGAACCTTTAAAGGACAGCATCAAAAGCATCTGTTAAATCGTTTCTTTCCATGGAGTGCTTTTCTAGAAATAGTACAGAGTGAATTAAACAGACACAGCTCCTTTCCTCTTGGAAGATGTAATGTATATTCCAATGACAGCAACAGAGATCTTACATTCATATAAAGTGGGATAAATAGCACATGGGCATATAAATTAATGAACCCCCCTCAAAGAAAAATGAGGAAATTGATACCTGCATTTATTGGTAGGAGAAGAAGAATCTGATACATGTCACATCAGGGGAAAACCATGTTGCCTTTTCCCACTGATGAGAAAGCTCATGAAGAAATGATTTTTTAAAGTTGAATAATCTAAAGAGATGCGTTGGTGAGTTACCAAAACCGAATGTCTAGATATACAGAGAGGGGAGTTCTCCAAATATGGCGTGAGAACTATGTGATGTGAGGCAATATTCCGTTGAAGCCCCCAGAACTGGCATTCCTCAGCAAGTGTAGCCCACAGGCCTAAGAAAAGCCTCTCATCTTCTAGCTCAGTGCTTATTTATTCTGTTTTTTTAATGGTGTTTTTCAGTTGGTTCAAGTCAGCTTGCTCCGCTATTCTTTTCTACAATCTTCCTGAGTTGGCTGAAGGTTATCTGACTACACTATTAATAGTGCTGGGGATGGGACCTCAGGAAGAAGAGACAGTGCACACAGTTGCCTAGTTTCCAGCAGGAGTATTTCTACTAGAAGGTCTCCCTGCAATCTACCTGCTGAGCCCTGAGCACCTGCAGGGGCTGTCCAGAGCCTACGGGGGAAAAGTTGGTCTGGATTTTCTCCTTAGATTCCTCTTAACCTGGACCACTCTTGTAGCAGTCTGGAATTTCTCATCAAAATGATATTTTGTTTTCGTTAGGCTAAATTTGTTCCAGGGACTTCTTTTTTCCCCTGTTTTTAAAAACATTGTATCCCATGATCAACTAAGGATAAAAAAAAACAAGGAGGGAAGAAGCTTAAGTTTTTCCAAAATCTTGTACCTATCTGTTTAAATCAGCAGGGATAAAGGAATAAACTGATTCAAAATGTGATAACTAAGTAACTAAACACACACACATACATACACACACACACACACACACACACACACACAAACACACACACGCATCCATAATTGTATTGAAAAAATTTCAGGATTCCAATATATGTTTTTTGCCATTAGTTTTTCTGAATATAAGTAAGAGAAAGAAAAAGTAAATATGTGTTTATAATATTCTAAGAAAAGAGTTTGGTAGTGGCATTGGCTCCTTGGGTTCATCCTGGCTCCATACCTACGTATCAACTGTGTCTCTTTAGGCAAGTTACTCACCCACACTCTGCTTTAGTTCCTTTACTATACATGGGAAGGGAGAGGGCCACATATAATAGCACCTATCTTAGATTGGCTATGGAGGTTAAATAAATTAATTCATGTAAAGTCCTTAAAGAGTGCCTAGTGCCTGATACCCAGTATTCTTCAACATTTATTGAATACATGTTAGCTATGATTATGAACATTACTGCTGTATAATGATAATGATTAAGATTGAGAAGGTATGACCTTAAAGGTAAGACCTGATTTAGCCTTGGCCTAAAGTTCTCAGGTGGTTGAACTACTACTAAACATCTTTTCCCAATCATTTTTCAAATATCAGGACTTGCTGGGAATGTTAGCCACGGGTAAAGCTTCTGCTTCCATAGGCCTATGAAGGCTTAGACGCTGAAGATGCCCCAAGATGCCAGATGAGATCTCATAGTAGGGAGATGTTTACTGTAGCCCCAGCATAATTCCAAGTTCTACTAATTCAGCAAATGATCTTTTCACAAGGAACTCTAATATTCAGAAATCTCTGCATCTTCTTATATATTCCCTTCTGCTAAACATTATATAGTTTAGGAGATAAGACTAATTATTCATGAATAAAGTGTAAAAGTCTTTTTCCTCTTTCTAATTATAAATGGCATTCAAGTAGTTCTTGAATTTGAACTACCAATTATCTAATAATAATAGTAATATGAACATTGTTCTCTGCTAGAGAATGTTTTATAGACTGTAAAGTTAGAAAATTAAGGAAGTGGCCTCATATTTCCATTGGATTAATGGATATTTCCAAATACATATGAGAAAATCAGAAAATGAGATGTGCATGTGTTTCCCTTGAAGTTGGTGGCAGTTTCTGGGCACAATCACATCAATGATGCATGTGCATAGGTAGTTTACAGGTTAAATAACTATGGTTTTGGATTTAATTGCCAACTTGTTACCCTGATGGTAATTTCAGACAGAGGAAGAGCAGAGTGAAGGGCCTGCCTGTAGTGTTACTGCTGCCTATAAAAACAAACAGGATCCTTAGGGCTTAATTAGAGGACTTACAATTACACCTAAAGCACAGTAATGTTAAAATGGGAATATTGGATATCTGGAAGATGAGTCTGGATTGGGTCACTTGCCTTTAGGAAACCACATTCATGAAATTGTGACTGTCCAAAGGAAACAGCAATTCTCCCACCTGGATTAATACATAGGCAGAACTGACAAATAGAACATGAGTTGGTCTGCAAAGCAGAATAGTTCCGGGGAGATAAATGCAACAGCTATTTAAAATCACAAGAATCCAGAATGATGCCTGGTGTCTTTGGCCCTAAGATGAAAATAAGTCATCGAAAGAAAAGAGCAGGGACATAAAAAGTTTGTTCTTCCTTAGTAAAAACACACACAGCCTCTGGAACTCACAAGGACACATGGTGTCAGTTGGCATCAGACAGCCTGAGAGTGCATTTAGGAGCGCATTTTCTGTTTGTTCCTTATATAGTTTTAAGAATACCTTTGAGAAAATTGCTTTTATCTTTTATAGCAGATTCCATCTAAAACTAGTTTTGTGTAGTTTACATTTCAGGCTTCTTGGAATATTTTCTATTCTCTCTCTCTCTCCCCCACACACATCCCTCCATAAAAAGATAATTTCAATGTCCTTAAGTTACTAGGAATCTACTCTACATGGGATAGCAAAATTTTAAATTATGTAATTTAGATCACTCTAGAGTAAAATTCCTTAAAAACATAGAGTACACCTTAAGTGTATGGTCTAGAGGCATGAATTCATGGAGTGGAAAAATAGTAAAAGGTTGGTTTAGAAGGCTTAATACTTATGATCTCTCAGCCCGTTGCAGCTTCACCTCACTCCTCAGGAGACACAGATGGGACACAGCAGGTACGTGTAAGGAGTGAAGCAATTCATGAATACTCAGCCATGAAATGGAAAATCAAAATGAAGTAAATATGACTATAACTATCTTGGGCTATTAATATTCAACTATTAATACCTACTGTTCTTTGAGAGACATTACTGAATATTTACTGATAAAAATAGCTTAGGAAGAGGAGTGCGTTGAAGAAAGGCATTTAAACAAGGCTTGAATGACATGTGGTTTGCTTAACGCAGGTTTAACGTGGTTTGCTTAACAGTTGACCAATTAAAATAAGCTTCTCATCCAAATGTGTCTTGCAATTTAGGGTCCTTTGAAAAAAATTTCCAAAATGCATTATAACTTTTCATAAGGGTGACACATGGTCCTATTTTCCAAAGACTTTGATTTAATTTTTGAATACAATGGTATTTGACTTTGTTAGTGTGGAATATTTAAACTTAAAAAGAAAATACCTTAATTTGCTTATGCATAAGCCTATTAAAAAACATTTCTAGGGGCTCTTGTTATGTTTATTCTCTAGCACATAACCTATCTTTGAAGTGGTATATTAGTTTTTAAAAAGTCATTCCCAAGCTGAATAATTAAACTGAAAACAAAAGCTATTCTTAGGGTGTATTCCACATATAAAGCTATGCGCATGATGCTTTGATTCAAATAATATTCTTATAAAACTTGGTTATTGTTTGAGGTCTGTATTCAGAATGGCAACTTTTGTTTTTGATGATTATTCCATCCTGAAACAATTTCCCCCCTGCCCAATTAAACCAGAATTAGGAGCACATTTATATCTGATGAGATTTAAACTTCTCAACCGCCTGCTTCAGAAATGTAGACCTTTAGTGCTTGTGTTCATTTTGTCTCTTTGTGGAGGGCTCAAAAGAAAACAGAATCAATTCCCTTAAGTTTTTCTGAAAGAGGAAGGTTGCTTTTGTTGCTTTGATCTTAGCATGTTGTGCATTTTTTATTGGCTGTTGAATATAAAAAGCTGTAGCCTCATCTGGTTTTTCTGCTATAGTCTCATACTGTAAATCACATAATGCCTTCCAATCTAAAGTAAAATGACTAAGTCCAAAGTGTCATTTCAAAGTGGATTTATCATTACAGTTAATAGGAAGATTTCCAGGGTGTAAGAAAACTAGCCAATGTTTTGATTACTATGCCATAGATGGCCAAAAATATATTCATGCACTTTAGACAGTAAATTCCAGGACATAGACATACACTCATGCTATTTAGATCCTTTTCCTATCATCTCAAGAGGCTGTTTTAGCTAATGTAACCGCTGGCTAGGTTATTGCTTCAACAATAGTATCCATAATGCAAAAGCAGCTCTTTCCAAACATTTTAGAGCAACTCAAGTTGTTTACATGTCTCCTTTAGGTGACTTTCCCATAACTTTGTACCAATTGGTGTCATACTATTTGGTAAAAATCTTCATTAAGTCAAGACAACTGCCATTATTTAAATTTCTCTCTTACAGAGAATTACAGGAAAATTACAGTAGCTGATTTGAACTCATCATTCTTAAGTAAATACAGGGCTTTAGAAAATGAATGAGAACTGTCAAAATGGAGTTGTATAATTAAACATCAAATAGTCCAAGTAATAAAAGTCATAGATTAATTGTCTCTCAGTTCTAGTCAGATCCTTTAAATACTGTCTCACGACTTGGGCATTGGTTCTTTCATCGGAAGAGTGCCTATCCTTAAAGTTGGGAAATTTCAGCTCTGTTGGAGCACCAATCAACTGCAAAAAGTAATTGGCATCTTCTTCCAAAGTTTCAAATTTCCCTACAAAATCGTAGTTGATCAAACACGGATAGCAGAGTTTGCTGACCTTTTCCCAGTGGATGTCCATCCCTACAGGACGGTGGGAATCCAGGAGATAGTGGACAAACTCTTTGAATTTGACTCCAGATCCATTAATTAATGCTTCTTTGCAGGCATTTGGTCGGTATTTCTTTATAATTGCCTTTCCAAATACTGGATGGTAATAACTATTGGGGTGTTCAAATTTGTCCCTAAATGCTGATACTAATCTTTCCATGGGATCACGAACAAACACAGCTTTTGTGTAGGTATTTAGACGAGTATATATGCCTTTTAAGTCAAAGCTATCTAGCTTCTTCAAATGCTTCCCATAGTGGACAGCATCATGGGAGATGTTGTATGCAAAGGGTGCCAACCCATTTAGTACCATCAGAATTCTTTTCCAGTTGGAACATCCAGCCTTTGGCACCTCACAGTATAAGATTTTGTGTTTGTCTTCTACATAGATTCTGGATACCATATGAAAAAGTTGTGATTGAGGATGACTCACCCCACCGTACTTCTTGCAAAACTCTTGAAGGAAAGACCTGCGTTTCTCTTGGGTCTCATCAGTTTTCTTCCATTTATTATCTTTGACTAAACTTTTGTTTAAAGGGTGAATGTCCAGTGGCCAATTCATTTTGCTGAACTTCTTGAAAAGAGTCTTAGCTCCTTGATGTTTTTCAACGGACTCATTTGTTGGTGACCCTGTGGTCTTACTCAAAGCTTGATCCTGTCCCTGTGAGTGGCTTGTCTTTGTTAAGACCTTAGTAGTCCTCTCAGGGTTGAGTAGAAGATTTTCTTTTTTCTCCTTTCGATCCTCAGGCATGAGAAACTTGGGTTTCTGTTAAAATAGAGAAGGAGAAATGTTGAAAACATGTTCACAAGTGTGGGTATACTAGAGAAGGAACTTAACATATTTGTTTTAAAATACTATCGAAGACAGCATATTTCATATGAGCTGCCAGAACAACTTAGCAAGGCATGCTGAATATACATTTTGTGGCAAGCTTCTTCACAGAAAATGTAGCAATGAAAAATGGTATCCACAGGATAGAGAGGAAAGGGCCCTGGATTTTCTTCCTAGTTTTTCCCAAAACACAATAGAATCAACTCAATCATTCTGGGTATCTATGACTCTCGAGATATTAATGAGTGTGTTATCTTCAAGAACTGATTTAGTTATTTAGTGCATCTGAATGGAGACGCAAAATGCAGCCTGCATACGGATTGAAATTTTTATTGTTTTGGGGGGCGCTCTGTAACGCATATGATGGTTCAGAGTCATAAATTACAACTTATAATTGTAGCAAGGCTAATTGTAAAACCCTGATGACCACCTCAGTTTTCTAAGCACTTACAAAAAATGATATTTTTTTCCCTTGGGAAATGTTTTATTTTTCTAAATGTATTTATCACAATAATTTAAGAACTATAATCATAATACTATTCATTCATGTATGAGACCATCTCTCTTTCCCAAGTGAAGAATGACTGAGGAATCCAGAAAAGTCTAGTTGATGTTCTGCTTCATAAAACTGTAGCAAGAGTAGAATAAAAATTTAGTTCTTTTGCCAGAAGGATAAATGAGCCCATTTACCACATATTCTTCATCTGACTACATCCTTCCTACAACTGCCACAGTGAATGTGAAAAGGAAGACATGGGAGGTGGGATTTACAAGGTGGCATCCTCCGATAGGAACAAAAATTGTAAAGACTTTGGCTTTCACTCTGGGTAAACCATGGAGCCTTTGGAGGGCTCTTGGTGGAAAAGTAATACGATCTCATTTAGATATAAAAAGGATGGTTGTGGGCTGAAGATACACACATATGGTTGTCAGCATGTTATTGGAAAAATTAATGAATAAATGCTGTGCTGTGGGAGTGATGCATGGTGTCAACCAGCCTAGAGGTGGAGGGAGTGGCGGGGAACGTTTCTTAGGGGATATCTCTCTCTATATATCTATATATTGATATATGTGTGTATATATATGTGTGTATCTCTAGATATACACACACATAGATCTTTTTTAACTATTGTATTCCCAGTGTCTAGAATGGTCTACAGCCTATAATAGTTGCTCTCAAATATTTGTGGGATGAATAAGTGAATGAAAGGAATTAGGTTTTCAAGGATGATTAAAAATTTTCTAGCAAATTGAGCAAAAGGGCAGAGGAATGAAGCACTGGGGACAGAGCCACCTCCAGACAGCATAGCCCTACTGCCAACTGAGCTCGAAGGGGGCTGCTTCTTTCTAGTGCAAGAGGACAGTGTGAGTAACCCCCTGATTACCATACACCAACTGTGTAGCCCCATAAAACAGCCACTCCAAATCTTCCATACCATTGGACCATCTGTTTGGGGGTTCAACTCTAAAACCATTTGTCTGCTATCTTCTCCAGAGGCTGCCAGGATGACTCCAAAGCCCTGCATCCTTCTTTACTCTGATCAGTGATTTGTGGTATATAAAGTTGTCACCAATAACATAAAATTTGACTGTAGGTTTGAAAGATTATAGGGTTATTGGTAGATGCCCATGGAACGTGCTTAGCTTAGGCCTAAAATAAAACTACTATGATATTTCTACAATGGCTTCTTCTCCTATTACCACTGTAAATAGTAACTATTGTTTTAGTAGTAGCAGTACTAACAGTACTTTATCTCAGTGACCTAGTGAATTTCAAAGTTCTCCAGTTGCCCGTTATCCAGACTGTAATTTGTGTGTCTCTACATGTGCCTTAGTCAACTCTCCTCTCTGCCTACAAACAAAAACAAAAACAAAATCAGCCTTCCACTGCCCTCTCGACTTTCTGCTCTGTGGTCATCCACTTCCCCCTTAATCTCCAGGGACTTCTGGAATGTTTGTTTCCCAAGACTTTCTCTAAATGAAACCTGGCGGGCTCCCAAGGCTCTGCTTGCCTTGTACTTTCTCAAGTGGATGAAACTTCACTTCCTTGAACCACCTGTCTCTCTGGCCAGAAAATAGGGAGTGATTTTCCTGCAGTGCACGGTTGCTTCTAGGACATCACTCAGCAAAACCTCCTGCTTCTGTGAGACAGACGTGTCCTGCTAAGTCACTCTTCCCCCTCCTCATGGTGTCATCTGCCTTTGCCACTGATCTCTCCACTTCAACGCATTGTAGCTTCTAACTCAGACTTTGCTTCTTCTTCCCTACTCTTAGCATGAGATTTAGTGACTCTGCTGACATCCAATAAACTCTCAGTTTCTTGACCATCTTGTTTTTTAACAGATGAATTCCCCACTTCACGTAGACCCATCACCAGAGCCTGTACCACTCCCATCATCTCTCTAACCACCCTCCTCTAACCTTCCAGCTCATTGTTATGTCCTGTTTTGCAATTCTTTGACCACTTTTCACTATGTTATCCAGGCTCTTAGCAGCCAAAAAGGCTGGTTCTCCATTTCTTAGCTCTCAGTTAGAAAGTCATCTCCATGGGAGCTCTCCTTATCCACCCTAAGTTATGTTCTTTCCCACAGCATTCTGCTTATTTTCTTCACAGCATTTTATGTATTTACTTCTCTGTTGTCTTTTTCACCCCATTCCACCTCCATTGCATTAGAATGTAACAATAGAGGTCTTACCTTTCTTGTTCTTTATGGCAGCAGTCCCCAACCTTTTTGGCACCAGGGACCAGCTTCATGGAAGACAATTTTTTCACGGGGGGAAGGGGTGGGAAGAGTTGGGGAGATGGTTTTGGGATGATTCAAGTGCATTGCATTTATTGTGCAGTAAAACCTCTCTGCTAATGATATCTGTATTTGCAGCCGTGCCCCAGCGCTAGCATCACCACCTCAGCTCCACCTCAGATCATCAAGCATTTGATTCTCATAAGGAGCGCACAATCTAGATCCCTCACATGTGCAGTTTATAGTAGGGTTCATGCTCCTATGAGAATCTAATACTGCCCTGATCTGACAGGAGGTGGAGCTTATGCAGTAATGCCGTGATGGGGCGTGGCTGTAAATCCAGATGAAGCTTCGCCCACTCACTGCCGCTTACCTCCTGCTGTGCGGCCCGGTTCCTCACAGGCCATAGACTGGGAGCGGTCTGTGGCCCGGGGGATGGGGAGCACAGCTCTATGGAACTTAGCACATTGCCTGGAAGATACAAGATGATCAATAAATAATTCTTGACTAAGTAAATGTGGTTATGATTTAATGGTAGGCTACTGAACAATTGTTTTATGATCTTGTTGAAGAAAAACAGTGTTAATCAAAAGGTCAAGGCTAACTTAGATCAACAATCAAACAATTCTTGTTCAGGTGCTGAAAATGCATGTTTAAATGAATCTTTGGCAGAAGAGAAAACAAATAAGATAGGTACATGCAAAGCTGATCATGCTGAAGTAGGCGTGGAGGCTTGGAGCCTAAACTGCCAGCCAAATCAGATGGGTTCAAAGTCACTTGATGCTGTCTGGGAACCCCTGGAAGGCTCGCCAGCAAATGGGTTCCTGCGCCTTACTGTGGACACACCAAATGAGGCTCCTGACTCTAATTTAAACAAGATCCCCAGGTGCTCCATTGGCAGTGGTAGCATTTGGGGACCACTCAACTACAGTATAACAAAGAGAATAAAAATATAAGCGACAAGCCCTGAAGAGTTCCTCTCATACTATCCAGGGGAGAGAGACACCAAACCTGGTGGACTTGAATATTTTAGAAAGAAGAGAAAGAACTTGGATGTAGGGTAGGGATGTCCCATAAGCCTGCACATGGGCCAGATATAGTATCTTTCCTGCTTATCCGGTTCCCTTTGCTGGGAGTCCACATTCCCCAAAACAATTTCTAATGACTGATTTAGCTGGGGAGATGACTACAGGAGGGAAAAGTTCGTCACTCACGCATTAGACTTCATTCTCTGGCTAGTTTATTGAATGCCAGTCAGTTTGCTCTACTCTGACCAAATCAAGATGTGGGGAATGGGTTAATTCTCTCAAGTAATGGCAAAGTCCTCTTGGATGGCCACCAGACCTCCTCATGGAGCCCCTCATCTCATCGTTGCTTATCTTATAAAATCTGTGATTAGGCCGTGGTGACATCTCCCACCCAACTCCATTTCTTTCCAATCACAGCAAAGACTTTCCATGACTAAGGAGTTTGGATAAAAATCAAAGCTAATGGCATTGCAAGTTCAAGGCTTATGAATTCCCCTCACCATCATCATTATCACCATCATCACACCACCACCACCCATAATAAAAAGAGTAAAATCTTATATCTCTCCATTTTCCTTGGGGCACTTCATTCTGATTGTCTGTAAAGCAAACATGCATAAAGCCAGACTTTATCCTGCTCCCTCCAGGAGTGGCTCCTGCTACGCTGTTTTCCATTTCTGAAATGGTTTTATTGCTTTCTGGTCACCCACTCGCAAAGTGTGAGAGACGCTTTAACAACCGGAAAGTAAATTGGCTATTTTACATCTCATAATGCCTCTTTCTTTCAGCTTTTTAAATTTATTGCCTCTTAATTGGATATTCTTTATCCTACTAATTAGTCTCTCTGCAAATTATTACCAATTACTCTTCCCCAAACATTTTATTTTTCATCCCTTAACATTTCAGACTGGCTCCACTAGGTTATCAGCTGAGGTCCCCATTCCTCGGCTGGCGTTTGCAGCCTGGTGCCACTGGGCCTCTTCTACCTTTGTTTTCTGTTTCTCCCTTGACGCATGCTCTGTCCTCCACTTGCTCCCATCCAGCCCTCGGCATCTCCTACTCAGAGTCTCCCCCTTTCTTGGGACTTTCAAAATCTTCTGGTTCAATATAAAAATCCTACTTTCTCCATGAAAACCACCCAGGTCTCCAGCAAATGATTCCACGC